CACACACACACACACACACACACACACACGTATTGTATATGTGTATACATATAAACTGAAGTTAGCTGAATATCATTAGGAATGTTCCACTCAACATTCGCGTGTATCATTTCATTCTTGTTTAATATTTTATGATGAGAAGGAAATGATATTCGCGAGCATTACGTTAAGTGAAATATACCTTGGAGATTCAGGTTTAAATCGAGTTGGAATCGGGCATTAGATCATGTAGAACAATTTAAGAAGCATTGTTTTTGTTATGATATTTCTTTAACATATTAAATGTTGTATCAGTTACTGATGACATTGATGACTAACGACACAAAATTTAACATTCTTATATCAAAAATTGAAAAGCTTTAAGATTATAAAAAAGAAAATATAGCTGAATATGACGTAAACATAAATAAATTAAGTTCGGCACTTAACGTGTTGATATTTATTACGTGTTATCAAGTTTAATTAGTTTGCAATGCAGAAAATGAATGAACTATTTATCGAGTAAAATAAAAGATTTTATTTCGTAATTGTCATGTTATGACATTAGGCCAATTAGGGACAACGTATTCATCTCAATGATTACCGCGATCTTGTAGATAGTCACATAGCAATGTTGCTTAATTCTAAAGATTAGGGGAGACCGGGGCTAAATGGGCACTTTTTTCTTCAATTACAGTTTTTAATAACAAAGTAAACGATTTTAGTCAAATGATTATTATTATAGCGTTTTAGAGAGTAATTATAAGACTACAAGATAGCAATAAAAGTTTCAGTGTTTGCAACTTCATTTCATTCATATATACAAAAAAATAATGTGATTCGAAAATGAAATCTCAAAAATTACTTTTAACTTTATCGAAAACACGTTTGATTACCTAAACATAATAACAGCATTTAAACTAACCAAACTTCGTTGTAAACACACATGAGATGTCATGTACAATATAAATTGGGAAACTCATAAAATTTTTGCCATTCAAAATTCAAATGCTAACTTAATCCCGATCTCCTCTATTGTTAATTTGTTCGTTTATATCGTGCGGTTAGTCCTATACGATAGGTACTTTATTTAACCTACATACAGGATAAACACCTGTTGTACAGGCCGCGGCTTAAATGTACGGTGTAAACGTAACCATTCATGTCTATTGAGATAAAAAGCGTCGCTTATATTTGTAATTTTTTTAAAATTGAATCTTATATTTTGTTTATTATTTTTTGCTTCTCTGTTTTTTTTTTTTTTTTTTTTATTACTTCTTTCATATCGCTTTACCAATACGTCGCGTTCGTCCGATTTCGTCGTAATATAAAAGTTTAGTTTTTCTCTGCCTTATTATTATTTAAAGTATCAGTTATTTTTAAATCAGCATGAGACTTCGGAATACACACAACGACAATGTAATAAGTCCTTAATTAATCTTTTGCTTTTTTACCAAACATTTTGTTTTACTAGGCAGCAGGAGTGAGAGGAGAACAGGTTGATTACTACGATTTTGTCGCACGCGACACAGGTACAGCATCACCTTCATGGATTGTTTGTAAAATCAAGATCATCGGTTACTTGGGACTAATATCGAGTTATCTTGAAAATTCAGCATGTTGTGAGACACACTCCTTGTGTTTATCTGCTATTAATAATTTTTTAATTCTTCCACACCATTTTGATAATATATTTATGTATATATGTTTTTAATGATCTATTCTGCCACAAGACACGTAAGTTTCATAATCCTCGGTATGTGAGTACATAAGTATCATGATTCATGATTCTCTCTTTCTCTCTCTCTCTCTCTCTCTCTCTCTCTCTCTCTCTCTCTCTCAAAATTTTGGAGAATAGTATCATATTGTTAGAGAGAAGCATCCCATAAAACACTTTAACTATAGAACGTCCCATGACTTGCAATCTCAGTTATATTCTAAGATTTCACCATAATACTATTTGATTAATTAATATTATTTATAAAATAGTTGACACACTCTTTTAATATTTTATAATAAAATGTGGAATCATAGAGGAGAACCGCTCAGTTCGTAATTGCAAGAAGCCGAAGCCAAAGTATTTAACTTCACAAGACGATTGAGTATAAACATGTCTTAAATCTCATTCGTAAAAAGAGTCACCGATATTTATAGTAGTAGCCGATTTAAGCCGGTATTTAATATAATCAGTTCTTATTTCAAAACTATTTTAAGTAATGTCTCTGCTAGTGCGGTCCTCTGATTGGTTCGTGACACCTCAAGACAGAACTTGAGACGGTCTTGAATTTAAGAACCGACTATGAATATTGGCCTTTTAATCGATTCATAAATCGAAGCTTTTTTTCTCAAACGAAGTAATATTAAACAGCGATTCTTAATTCGCATCAATTTCAGGTGTTTTTTTTGTGATTAGATTCCATGAAACACATCGAGCGATTACTATCGACGCGAAATACACGAATCGGATTTCTAAAAAAGGGATATGATAGAAGGAAAGATTTGTAAGATCGAGATTTCGCGAATAACGTAGGGAAGGAAATTATAATTTAATGATTATTGATTGATATGCTCGCGGTTTTTAACGTCGCGGACTATAACAATCCTGTGAAGAAATTGCAGTCGATCCTCGTATAATCCCACTTTAAGAATCTTTCTTGTAAGGAGACAGGGAACAGAGTCAGGATCTCGAGTGTTGCGGTGGAGTTCGAGCAGTACGCGAGCGAGAGATCGCCTCGGCTCGGCAATGGATGCCGAAGGAGATGAAACGATCGAGAGTGGGATGCTGTGTGCGAAGAAGACAGGCGAGAGTGGACGGACGGCATGCCATCCCACTTCCATGTCCTTCTGTCTCTCTTTTACATTCTCTTCATCCACTCGTTTCTGTGCGTTCTCTCATCTACTCTTCCGTCTAGCGACTTTTACATGCGCGAGCCGGCTTCCCGTAGTATTCTCTCTCTCTCTCTCTCTCTCTCTCTCTCTCTCTCTCTCTCTCTCTCTCTCTCTCTCCTCCCTCTCTCTCCCCTCCCCCTCTCACTCACTCCCCCTCTCTCGTTTTCTGTCTCTGTCTCCGAACTCTCGCCGCGTGCAAGAGAATTGCCTTGAGTCGTGGAGAGTGCACAAAATGCCAGTAATTCGACGCGACTTGGAGTACGCGCCTCGACGGTGAAACGAAGCACCTTGTGAATTCGAACGCGCGAATTGTCGCGCGAATTTGAAGCGTGCTCATGATTTCATACGTAAGATCTTCCGAAATTTCTTGAAGAGAGTATTTTATTTTATATAAAGCGATTGCGTGGACTCAATGCGCGAGTAAATTATTTTGCATGTCTTGCGACGTGAATGAAGTTTTTGTTTTCCAATTAAGAGCGAGTAGAAAAGTGTATCAACGTGAATATCCGTAACAGTAACGACAGTGATTTTAAGCGATCCTCAGAGATTTATGTGTCTGGACGGGAGTGCTTCATTTTCGTCAATTGTCAATCATTTTAGTGAACATTGCTAAAATTTTGTAATAATCTGATAGTGCTAAGTGTATCTTTAGTGTGTTAAGAACGAATTACACATTTATGAATGAAGAAGAGTATATTTTAATGCGCAAATTTTCGTCGGTTGAATGGCAGAACTTTGGTTTAACATAATATATTTTTTCTTTTTTAACTAAGGAAAATAAAATCAAATTTGATAACAATTTTTATACATGAAACACAGATTCATTCAGAAAATTGTACTCAAATTATCGAGAGATTGTGTGGAGAACGATAGAGGAAAAGGATGTAAGACAAATGCTGTAATCGTTCGAGGGCGTAGAAAGTATCTGTTGAAGTTTCAAGATACTTTCGTGTTAAGTCATTGATCGAAATAGATTCGAAGGAAATCATAATTGATAAGATAAGAATTGATTAACAACAAAATAATAGCATGATCTAAAAAAATTGAGTATTACTGAAAAAATGATTATCAGTAATACGACAATATATTAAATGAAGATGTAAATATAGATAAACATATAAATTAAGAAAGTATATAAAATATTGAATATTACCTTGATAATCTGAAGTTATCAATTTAAGAGAATTACTTGAATTCAATAATTATAATAAGAAAAAATAATGTTCGTCGAACTTGTCTTGCTTGAGAAAAAAATCACTTTCTCGATACTGAGTGCATTAACTTTAAAGGCGCTCGTATAATTCGTACTGAATCTTTTCGTTTAGAATGATCATTCCGGTTGAACCCAGGACATGGAAGAAAAGGAAAGAGGAGGGCAATGAGGAAGAGGGAGGAGGAGTGGCAATGGTGGCGCAGCAACACGGCGTTGAAAAAGGAAAGCCACGCTGATCATCCACGACTGGAAGACCTCGACGTTGCACTTTAGCACAACGAAAAAGAACGAAAGAGAGAAAGAGGAAGGAAGGACGAGGAGAAGAATACGAATAGCAAAAGGGCAAGGAGGGCAAAAAGAAAAGAGAAACAAAGAATAAAAGAAATAAGAAGGAGAGACAAAAGAAAGCAAAGAACGAGGGGAAAGGAATCTAATTCCTAAATTCATTTTTATTTTCATAAATATTCCTTTTTATAAATCCAGGATTATCAAGATTTATTGACTTCACAAACTTTTCCATAGATTTTTGATTATATGGAATATTTGCATATATAGTTCTTTTATCTTGTATATAGACTTTTATGATTCGCGAGTGCATTCATTAATCTTTGCTAAGCAAATATCATTTAAAAATAGTATAAATTTGTAGCGATTCCACTTTCGTGAGTCAAAATTTGTCGCGTTGCCTCATGAGGCCTCTTACCTTTCAAAACCTGAGAAGGCTCGTTAGTCGCAAGAAGGACCGCAACGAACCTTCCTTCAAGCGTAGCGAGTCCTTCAAGAGAATTTCTATTAGGAAAAGTTATCTGGACCGGGGCAAACGACGGAATCGTTTTCAGAAAAATCTGGAACCTGTTGTTAATTCTTCCTCGCAACAAGTGACGAATGATAAAACTGTTAATCAGCAAATTAAGGAGCAAGAATTCAAGAAAGATCAAAAGCGTTCTCTCAGTCGCGACTCTATCACTTATGATGAATGGCTTCAAGGAGTCAGTTCTTCTTCCCGCGAAAAGCTTCACGAAGATCATCTCGAATCTCTTCAGCATCCTAAGCCAACGAAAACCACAAAATTTGTCAAATATACTGACACAGATTCAGTTATTGAAGATCTGAAAATTCTTGAGCTCGATGCTTCGCCTGTTTTGACACCTAAATCTAAATCCTTTGGAATCGTTACGGAGCTAGGTCGAGATCAGACAACCAATGGGCACGATACTTTTTGGATCCAAGAGTCTTCTGTAGAAGGATCGCTCAGTGTTAATATCAGTCTTGGCAGAATATGGAGAGATGCGGTGCCATTTCCGGTATCAGTTCCGCTATCGACTCCTTCTTATTCCTCTGTCTCGAATTCTTTAGTTCATCATTATCTGGATAGCGCTCTGAAGGAGAAGAAACCACAGCCAACTGTTACAAGAACGGTTTCAGCGCCAGAGAAGCCCGTTAGCAAGGAAACTTCGTCATCCTTCGGCTTCTCTCTTAGGATCGCCAGATTCGCTGATTTCAGGCCAGGGTGATTAGTTTTTCGATTAACAGTTGATCATTGAAGATGGATAAATGATAGAGTATATTTCTTTGATTGATTTACCTTTGTTAAATTCAAATCTTTGATTTTTTGTCGATAAGTCTTATTTTAAGTAATTAATTATAAATTCGAAAGATCTTCAGAAGTTTTGATCTTTCGTTGTTTTAAACGAGAAGGATCTGATTGCGTACATCGTTAATTAATCAGTTTAATACAAAATATTCTTATTCGTAATATGTACATAACTAAGAAATAACTACGCATCGAGAATACTATCAAGATGTAGGCTAACGGAGTCCACTCGTTCTAAACAACTAGATAAAGTGCGAATGTAATCTGTATTTAAGGTGGTTTTTTTTTTTTAGTAAATCGAAGTACAAATGTATAATTTCTTTATATAATAAAGTTAAAGCCACGAACTTGAAATAGTAAAATTTTAGGATAGGTTAATGATGAAATAAAAGAAAAAGGTATTGAAAATATAATTTTCAACATACAACTTAGTGACAGGTAAGAATTGGAGACGATTGTATGCAGTTAGTGCATTCTTCAAAGAAGAATGCACTAAGTGCATACAGAGTGTTTCATAAATGCATATCAATAGTTTAGAAATTGATACATTAAAATAAGTAAAAAAATGTTATATAAATATATGTTCTACATACTTTAGTTTTCAAGTGGATTAAAGAAAATGTTCGAAATGTTCGCCTTGTGCGTCAACACACGTTACTGTTACACATACTGTTTAGCACATCTCGATGTTATTTAATGTTTACAAATAATATCCATCAATAAATCGGACAGGATTTCAAGCAGTGGGTATCTTATGTTCATGAATTACTGTTCTATTAAATATGTTCTATTAAATATGTTCTATTAAATACGTTCTATTAAATACTGTTTTAAGGCTCGATTGTTCCATTTCTTTATTATTGTTTCATTACTTTCGATAAATTTGAACTCACTCTCTTATGTTCTATAGATATACTTTTTTATTCTTTTGTTTATTCAATAAGTAAATTACTATAATTTATCTAAAGATGGAAGAATCAGCGGCAAAATGATAATGTACATTTATGCTGAAATGACCGACGTGTATTTGATATACTTATGACTGTTCATGCATAATGGTACTCCGTCTCATTTTTATCTTGAAGTGAGAACATTCCTAAACAATGCCTTCACAAACCGAGATAGATAGGACGAGGCGAACTCATGGCCACTACGATCTCTGATCTCAGTCCATTAATTTTTGGGGCCATTTAAAATTTATTGTTATATTATTTTCAACGCCGGTAAATAATGCGGATAATCTGCGAGAAAGAATGAATTTGAGACTATTCGAAGAATAGTCTAGTATTTTTGAACAAGTGATGCTCAATGCTAAGACGTGAAGTAGCGTATGTGTTGACATATGAGATGAATACTTCGAATATTTTCTTTAATCTTTCATAACTTGAAAACTTGAAAGGTAATTCATATGACGTTTTTTATTTATTTTAGTGTATAGATTTACTTCCTGAAGTATGTGATGTTTATGAAACACCCTACAAATATTACCATACACTTCTCTAAATAAACATAATTATAATAATTTAAAAAATAACGATTGCAATAATCATACAAAAGTAATAAATCAACGATCATTCCGAAAAGATATTTAATGTTGAAATGGCAAAATATCGTATAATATAACTTCATTTGTTTTTGTGACATGAAACTTTTAATTTCATTATAGATTGGAATAAATTTTCCCTTTTTTTTTCAACTTTCTTTTTTACAAATTTTTCTTTATAAAAATCTTGCTTGCAATATACATTGTAATTTGATGGTGCAACATTGCTAAATCATCACAAAAACAAATTGTATAAGAAATCAACTTCTTTTTATTTCATCATTTTTGTATACTATTGTGTTTCGTACTATTTCATTAAGATATGCATGTAGTTTTATTATTATCTAAATTATGAAGATATTTATAATTTTCTCTCTCTTTAAATGGGCCTTGGTGAGGCATCCAAAATTTTCGGTTAAACTTTACTAAAGAACCACCTTAATATGTGAATATATAAAAAATAATAAAAATTAATTGTAGTCTTTATTAATAAAATTTTTCTTTGGTTGAATATATTAATGGAAAGATCTACATACTACTCATATTTTCGCAATGAATTTCACTGATTGAATCAAATATTGCGTTGTTCAAGAATTCGATTGCAATCGATATTGCTTGGCTTTAGGATGACGCGACATGGTCTTTTTCGCCGGAAAACACCAAAGCCATCGCCAAGTGTGAGCACGGAAGGTTACTTCAAACGAACGAGCGCGTCTAGACATTCTAGTTCTCGTCGCCGAAGTGGTAAGAGAACTTCTCAACGCGCTAATAAGAAGAATCAGAAACCTGCAGTTCGAATCAACAGTCCAGTATGGTTTATTCCACCCGAAAGACGTCGTTCGAGACGTCAACGTCGAGTCTGGCAAGAGATCAGATATTTCCCTGATGATGAGAGTCCAATCCTAGAGAGAATTAACGACTGGTCGTCGAACGTGTCAGACGATCAGTTTGACGATCAAAAGCTGTTGTTATCAGGTGATTTCAATGAGCGTCGGGAAGATGATGCCTTGAACTCGATTGTTTCATCGTCCTTTGGTTCTTTCTCGGCGACATCGTCTTCGTCGTCAGCTTGTCTGGTACAAAAAATCAGCGACTTTAACGAGGATAAGCTATTCTCTGAGGAGCTAAGGACCAATGGTCTTCTTGTGCGGGGAGCCACTTGGAAGCTTTCGGCGACAACGACAACAACAACGATGATGTCAACGCCAGCGAGAACGATCATTTCTGGAAATTATTTTGCCAGTAGTCAATTCCTTACCTTTCTAGCCAAGGACATTGTCAAAGAAAGGCCAAAAAACGAAAGTTTCAACACAAGTTACAAATGTCTCTCATCACCATCAAGCGACAGTGAAGACGATGATGTTGATCGCTTCAGTGATCGTAAAAGAAATTTTCCACGACAGCAGTATTTAAAAAGGCAAAAATCAGGATTTAGAAGGAGACCATTGCGTCGGAAGTCGCAATTGAGAAAAGCATCCGCTCAGCCGGTATTCCTCGTACGCAAGTGCTCATCCTTGAGGAAACATTCCAGTAAGATCCGAATATAGTTCTATAGATTGTTCAGGAAATGACAGTAATAGCCAAGGATGTCAGATTCTTTAAATCTTAGATCGCTATTTTATTATTACAAAATAGCGCAAAAGTACCAATGTCCCAAATATTACTTTGTAAGAAGAAAAGAGTGAATCTAAAAAAAAAAAAGTTTTTAATATGATTGCCCTAAGTTTCCACAAATTTACAGGCCAATATTTAGGTCGGTATTTATAATCTGTTCTTATTTTAAAATCGTTCTAATTAATATCTTAAGAATACGGCTCTATAATTTATGCCATCTTAAGATTGTACTTAAAATAAGAACGGACTGTGAATATCGATCCTACTACTAGATTGATCACTTCGTCACTATGATACCAAGTAATATTTTTGATGGGTTGCCATTTGTTGGTCTACATTTGTTACTCACACATAAGAGTTGGCCAAGTTGTACGATGGTTAAATCGTATTTTCTTAAACGAATCGTTTTTTTTTTTTCTGTGACAACACAGATGTGACGCTAGCAATATTGTTTAAGTATTGTCGTTTTTATTTTGTTTTCGAAACATCTGTTTACGTTTAAAATTAATTTTTTTTCATGTAAGTTTTCATACAATTTACCTAAGATATAGTGAGCACAAGGCGAATAATTGAAGCTTGGTGTAGACACACGCGCACGCGCACATACATATATACACACACACTACTATAATTAGTATTTAAATTCTTTTCATGTACAACATTAAATTAACAATATATTTGTGGGTTATGTTGCTGATAAATTTGTCAAAATAGAGAAAGTTGGGTAAACCGTATTTCTCTTTAGTTTATATTGTACTTACACATTTAAAATAAAATAATATATTGAAATTGTGAGTAGTTGAATAATATTTGTCGCTAGTCTTTATATTGTATTTATATTTAAGATAAAATAACATTTTAAGATTAAATAATTGAATAATCCTTTATAATTATTAAATTTTGATATTTGTGATAAAAAAAAGTACGTTTGTATCTTTTTAAGATAATTTATTATAAATTATTTATAGATATTATTTGTTGAATTAAAAAAAAATTAGATCTTTCTTGGCAGATTCAAAATGATGGACGAAAATGCTGAAAGTATTCCGATTTATTCAAAGTATTCGATATATTCGAAAATTTGATATTGAGAGATTGTTAGAGCTGCTGATTTTGAATGCAATCTCAAATTTTGAAAATTAAAAACGGTGAGATCAGATAGAGCGGGCCAATGCAAAAGTAGTCAGGATTATCACAGACAAAATCGAGAAAAGTCAGGGGAAAGAGTAAAAAAGTCTGGAATTTCGAAATTTGCTCACAATTTGCTTAAACTACTTTTCCAAGTAGTTGTTGTAATTTTTTAAATATTATACCTAACGTTTATAATCAAATATTATACATTTATAGTATAAATAGAAAAGTTAGGGAATTTCAAAATTCATTTTCTGTGGCAACTCTGATTAATACATATTGACTTATATTTTTTTGTAAATTTTTTTGGCTCGCTGGACACGTATTTATATAGATTTCATTTTCCACATTTCACTTTTTACTTTTCACTCGTCGAGATTTCATGTGTAACTTTTCATGCATAGCGATTATGTAGTTTACCCTGACATTATTTTTATATATACACATGTATAATTTTTCTTCATCAATATAATATTAACAATCTTATTCTTTTTCTTCTTCTTATCTACAATCACGGCATTGGACACTTCTAATTCCGAAGTACATTTATTAATTCCCTAGATTTTCTTCTTTTCATTCGTTTCAAGATAAGGCGGAAAAGTTCACGTGAACAATTTTACATTTTCACAGTTTGGAGAGTTATATACGATCCCATGGAATCGTACATGATCATTGAATTCACGTGAAACTTTTCACTTTTCACGTTTCCGTCCCAGGGAAAAAGTGATCGCTCTCAAGAATTACAAAATTTAAAATGGCAGATCGGATATGACAACATTCATGAACTTGTACACCTGTAACCTACGGATTCGTTCATAATTGTTAGAGTCCACCATGTGAAAGTTATAGTACTTTTTTTAGACTCTTCTAAGATGCTTTATATGAGTCCCCTTATCTCTCATTTGCTGTGTTTTTCTTGCGGGAATGTGTTGAAAAAGTAAATTATTTTTGCGTTAGTAAATTTTTGTCGCTTTTCTGCGGTGCTGATTGATTCTTTCTCTGCGCTTACTTCGTCATCGTAGAATTAGCAAGTGATTTGTGTAGAAGATTATCGATGAAATTTATTCTTAATAAGTAAAAAAGATAAAAATTAATTTAAATAGCGCGCGCGAAACACGCTGTGATTTTTATTACAATAAAAAATGATATATAATTCAAATCTAACTAATAGAAAATTATATTTCTACATAACATAACTTCTACATTTAAATAATCTTATGGAAAGTACTATAACAGAGAAAATAATAATTATAAATTAACAACCGTATTTTAATAAGGTTTATTATACTATTTTCTTTAAGATTGTTAAATGTAGGAGTTAGCAAGTTAGAAATATAATTTTATTAAATGCATCTTTTTCTTTTGACCTGGATATATGGACATTAATAAATTTTTTTTAATTACACGGAAATTATGCGTATCGCGGGTTATTTCCGTGTCCAAATCCATTCTTAGAATGCCAACGTTTCGTGAACATTGCAGTTTATGTCATTAGAGCGAGGAGCAATCTGATACTGTTTCTTCCAGTGATTCCTTTTATATGTTATTATTTTTTAAGATGGGGGAGAGGGATAAAGGAAAGAGAGTGGAGATGTGGGCGAGAATATCAATTATCAATTATGTAAGAAATTATATAAAAATATTTCGTACTATACGTAATGATATTCCGTAATAAAAGCTGACATTAATCCTAATAATATAATTTAAATTAAACAATTACATGTGAAGCTTAAAAGTGAAATCTCTTTATATATTTATTAATTTATTATTTATTGTAAAATTGAAATGCTTTATCATTGTATGCAAAATTGCCTAACTGTTAAAATTTGGTTTCCTATTATAAAACGTTATTAACTTATAAAACTATTAATGTTTTACAATAAGAAACTGAATTTCAGCAGTTAAACATTTTGCCATCATTGTCTCAATTATATTAATATTTAACAAACGAGTTAATGTACAAGGCGCAATATTCATCCCTCGCCATTTTCAGACACTATCAATTTTAATCGTTTATAATTTGAAAAAAACTATTGTAGTCTGGACTTTTTTATATGAAAGATTTTTATCTTAAAATGTTCCATAGAATCTTAGCGAAAGAGCATCCCAGCATTTTAAGACATTCTCTATATGAATCGTTAATGTATATTCAAGGATGGGAAATGAGTAACACTCTTATTTTTATTATTACTTTTTATAATTACAATTACTGTTCAGGGATATAAGTTACCGATATCTGATCGCGCTAAATTTTACAGAAATTACTTTTTTGTGGATTAGAACCATTCTAGGAAGTGAAAGAATTCGAAACATCGAAAAATAAGAAATACACATATTTATATATAATTATATGAGTTAGACACCATTATATAAAATTATATGGTAAATGTATATTTTAGGTTACACACATCACCAATTTGAATGTCCTTCAGATATATTATATGGGAGAATGTCCTAAGTGATTTTCTATAAGAATTAAGTGGGGGACAGCATTCATTTAGACGATGTAACAAATAAAAGTTTCATAATAAAATTTGTATAAAGATGTTCATTTTATCATTTTTTCGCGTGGAAAGTTGTACGCTTTTTGGCAGGGGAAGGGGAGGGGGGGAGTAGATCTTGCTTTGCGTGATTGTATCGTTTTACGTGAATTTTCGATTTTCCATGCAAAACGAAGTCTATCCCATCTCCTCTCTGCTTAGGGACGTTCAAGTTTTTACGTGAAGTAAAGCAATGTTATCCCTTGCATATTTTTAATTTATCATATCTCTTAAACCAATGCCATTCTCCACTTAATTCTTGTGGAGAAGAATCACTCAGGACGCAGCTCTTTCCTACAACATAGTTTAAAGACATTCAAATCAGAGAGGTGTAACCTAAAATAAACATTTTAAAATATACATTTGATTATGAAAAATTGTTTACCAGATATATAATAATAGATTACATACAAATAACATTTTATAAAAATAGAAACTAGGTGAGTAAATAATTACAATAATGTAAATAATTAATAAAACAATAATTCAAATATTAATATTAAACGAAACAATTTTTTCTGGCATAATGAAAATAAAATATTTTTCTATCATTTTCTATAATTAATATGTTGCAACAAGATCCCGCCAACGGCCAAAACTGTAGATATAGTATCTCTCTGTTACACACTAAATTTCGTTAGAATCTTCGTATAATACACATATGCGAAAAAAACGGTTCATTTAATACTGATATTTCAGTGTCGTACGAACTTTTTAAGCCTATTGATTGGCTGCAGAACGAAGAAATCCTAGAATCTCTCTGTCCCGCATCCAATCAACAGGCTTGAAAAGCTTTGCCGACATGTTCACTGCTGCTTATAGTAAACAATTCTCTGCGCGTTTAGTTATCTACGAGAGTGAGTGGTCTTATCTTACTCTGTTGTATTTAACAGAAGAACTTGCTATTCGGCGATCTTTAGAAATTAATATCTCGTTATTTCTATTGCGTCGTTTCTATTGCGAAAATTGCAAAATGTTAGATAACTTTTTCATTTTCAGTTTAATTCGCTCATAAGAGAATCTTGTTATTCTGAGGCATCCTGTATATTGCTCCTACTATCCCATCTTTAGTTTTATTTATATTCTTGTTCCTAGTTTAAATAGGTATCATTTTTAATTATTTTTATTTAAATAAACAAATGCAATAACGGAAATAATAATAGAATGTTTTCTAGAGAACAATTCAATAAAATTAATATCCTACTTTATAAACTGCAACTATGATACGTTACTCGCGATATTATAAGATGATCTGAAATAATATTAAATGCGTGGCTATAAATTATTTCTTGGGTTAAGTTATCAATTAAGTTGTTTTCCGCTGTTGCAGGAGATATTACACAAAAGGGTTATGAAAAGAAACGGACGCGTCTACTTCAGCAATACGCTTCGAAGCAGATAGGTAAGTGTTTCGCTTTTCATTAAAATTCTTGCAAGTAAACAGCGGGAGATATCATCGCATTATTCGCAATATACGGTACGAAGCGGAAAAGTCAGCGAAGTGAAAATATTATCGCCCTACATATTCAGTCATACTATATATTTCGCATTAAGTATTACATTTTTCAAAGCAAGATATGTAGATAAAGGTTTCAATATTTTGTTAAAAACGCTTCTTTTTAATTTTCTTGATGAAGTCCTATTAATTATAGATTGTAACATTTGATCTACAAGAAAAAAATGTAAATCTTTTTATTTTACAATTAGGTGATACTTATCTCTCTCGTCGCAATGTTGCATCATTGAGACGAAATGAGTTTGCAATATCAATCACGTTCTGATTCTCAAGAAACACGTGCTTCATTGTATACACAATAGTAAATGCAATCTGTATAAAAGGAAGGGACAAGACGCAATCTTCGCGGCATGCGTCACTTTAACATTCTGCATTTTATAACTGCAACGTATAATTGCTCTTGGTTGCGTCATGCGAGACGCACAGAACGCGGATTGAGAGAATCAAAAGAAAATTGCATTTAACAAAAAGAATAATGCGCAGCTTCGTGAGATATTACTTCTATTTAATTTACAGGACGTTCGCCACTTCAAATGAGTTTATTTTGTACTATATAAAAATCATATGGGAACAAATTTCAACAGTATTTCCGCATCGCAGATGCGAGGTGTAAAACTCCATCTTACATAAGATACAGAACGCGAATCGTAGGTTGTATGATTAGAAACTAATTTAACGTATTTTAATTATAATTGCAGGACACAGAACTCAGACAGCATACAATATTCATTGGATGTTCAAATCTGGTTTTTATTTAGTACGAACGTTCATGGATAATGAATATTTTTAAAATGTACGTTATTCCATATACTAAGAATATTAACATTTGGATGTTTTAAAAATATCTGTCTTATGTATTTGCACCTCTAAATTTTCCATTGTAGAATAGTTATTATGAAATAGCATTTAAAAGAAGATCTGTGATCATAATGTGATTTAGAATGAAGTCAAGGTTGAAGTGAAATTATGGCTCTACTCCATGGATACATTTTCTTATAACATTGGTATAAAAAAAAACTGATGTCATAGTTACGAAAAGTGCTTAAATGTCAATAGTGACTATGTTGAGAAGTGACTTAGGAATCATGTTAATAATATAAAAAAGTGGTATAATTGTTTTATTTTTTTATTTTCTTTCACTACAATAGGAAGCTTAATATTTGATTGTCCCTCGTATATTAAATTTCTTACCTTTTTTAATCAAAATTGCTTTTAATGCTACAGAAATTTAATTTTTAATGCTTTTTAAATACTTATGTTTTAGTTATATAATAATAATAATATCAATATTTTAAATAAAATATAAATTGCATATTGGATATAAATAAGTTAAAATTACATAAAAACAATTAACACTAAAGTCATGTTCTGATATACTACTAGTATTGAAAATCTATAGTTCAAAATACGTACACTATAGATTTTCATTGTTAGCAGAGTATATCGGAACACACAGCCTAAGTATATTTAAAATCCCTATACAGTTTGGTAATGCCCATAAAATGTCGCATATAGATATAAAATATGTATATGCCGAAATGTATGTATGTGTGTGTTGGTGTGAATGTATGTGCATTCTCGCTATATTGGTGGCGTCATTGTATGGGCATCTCTATCAAAAGATGTCTAGGCATTTGCCAGAGACATCATTACTCTACGTAAAGGGACCTTAAGTATACTTACCTACTTGTATAAATTTAAACAAATAAAATAATAGCTGTCTTCTTTCTTTACTTATAGATACAATTGAATATAATTAATTGAATTCAAAATTCCAATCTCATTCAATTGCTTGGTGAGCAGACTATCTCCTTTATCTGCCAGAATTCACAATATTTGAAATAAGTTCAATTTTAGTACGTTGTATATCTAAAAAAGATGTAAGATCTAAAAAAGATTCATTTGAGATGTCCAAAAGAATAACACTGTACGTATCTTTAAAACATTCTAAAAATATTCGAGGCTCTAATTCAGATGTTTAAAATACGTACGAAATGTCCAATATGCATTTTTAAAATATCATTGTGCTGTCTGGGAACACAAGACGCAGAAAATTAGGTGAATTCCAATTTTCGCGTCCTGCGTTCTATCGTATTACAACCTACGATCTATTACAATCTGAAATACGTTTTACTTGCGACGTGTGACCTGCGTTCTGCGTCTTATATATAAGGATCGTTTGAAAAGTTTTGAGCCTAATATAGAAACAAATATTTTTTTTAGTTAAATTTAAAAAGTTTTATTTTTCAACATAATCTTCTTTTAAATTGATACATTTTTCTCAGCGATGTTCCTACTCTTTTAACCCATTCAAATACAGTTAGCGTATTCTCTTACTCTGCAAAATAGGCTTTTACGAATGCGATGACCTGCTCGTTCGATGAAAATTTATCCTTCGAGCCAAACTTTAAGCTTAATAAAAAAAAGTTGCTGGGGACCAGATCTGGTGAATACGGTGGGTGATCAATCAATTCGAATCGCAATTCGTGAATTTTTACTATAGCAACGTAGAAGTGTGAGACGATGCATTACCTTGATGGAACAGCACTTTCTTTTTCTTCAAATGCATCCATTTTTTCACAATTACTGCCTTCAGAGCTTATCAATTAATAATGCATAGTACCTCGTTATTGTATTATCTTGTTCAAGATAGTCGGTGAATACAATGATTATTCTAAAAAATAGCCGCCATCATCTTCTTGATCGATGAAACCGTCTTCGCCTTTTTCGAAACAGGTTCACCCTTCGCAATCCACTGTTTGGCTGTTCCTTTGTCTCAGGAGTGAAGTGTAGATCCACATTTCATCAACATTTATTAATCGAAACAAAAATTCTGACTCGTTTTGCTTAAATCACTCCAATGGAGCCTTGGAAATGTTCATTCGAATGTGTTTTTGATCCACAGTGAGCAAGCGCGGCATTCAACGCGGGGTTAGCTTACGCATGCCTAATTCTTCAGTCAATATGATAAACACATTCTTTCGATATGCTCACAAACTTTGCTATCTTTCTAATCTTGATTCAATAGTTGACCATTTGGTGAACTTTTTCGATGTTATCGATGGTGATTGCAGTTGTTGGCCGTCCCGAACGCTCATTATCAGCTAAACTGGTACGAGCATGTTTAAAATCTTTCCGTTTTTTCACGATGACAAATGATGACAGAGTTCCCCTAAACAGCGTCCAACTCGGCTTTAATTTGCGCAAGCATTGCCTTTCAAATGCAACAATCACGGCGCGATATTCGATATTTCGATTTTTTCTATTTTTACAAAAACATTGACATCAACTGACACAAATGACTGTCAAACAATTAAGCGTCCAAAATGGCTACAATTTTCACAGATATTTTTCAAAGTATGTACGATCGTAGAATGATTTTTACGCACTTTATGTTGAGAGAGAGAGGGGGGGGGGCTCAAAAACTTTGCAAATGACATGATCGGGCTTAATGCGAATCATATCCGAGTTCGCCAACCGTTACTATCACAATTGTCGCAATTGTTTACGCGAGACTTTGTCTTATCGTCGCAAATTACTGGAGACATAGAATTGCATCGTTTTCACACGTTATTTGCTGGTCCGCGCAAGCTGCATTCCGTGAACGCGTTCTTTCTTCGCGATGCCCCATTGCCTTTATTAATTTAATTCTTTCACGATCTTTTTCCCATTTTAATAATGAAATTAAAATGTGAAATTATAACAAAAATATAAAAATAATTTCAGAAGTTTATTTAAACATTCTCGAAAAAAATTTTTTATGTATAATTACATATTATTATATAT